TCTCAACCCATGAGTTTTACTTTTTTTCCCAACTCTCCTCCCCATCCCAGTGGGAGGGGTGAGGAGTGAGCGAGCGGCTGCACGGTGCTTAGTTGCTGGCTGGGGCTAAACCACAACAATCGTGCATGCACATAAACCAAGACAGTGCTTTGTTCAAAGTGATTACGTTTTGTTTGTAGCAAAAGCTAGAGAGATTAAGACTTTCTCAATGACAGTGTCAGAATTTTTTTAGTGGGAGGTTTGGCCTGGTGGGATAGGGGAGTAGACATAGAACCATTCACTGGAGTTCTCAACCTCACTCTACCTCTCCCCGTATCTTCCAGGACATTCAAGATGAGGGTAAGTGTTTTCAGAAAACACTAGAAGATAAGCATAGAGGCCATCCCAGAGACAGGAGATGATTCTTTTATTACTTCTGGTGATTTGCAAGGTAAAAATGAAACACTGCTCTGGAAAATTAAGTCAGTCCTCTGTTTCACCAAAGAGCAGTGAAGGGGTAGTCAATGGTAAACTGAACTTCCCATGCAGACTGACCCTTACTCAAGTCAGAGAGAAGGGAGGTCTTTTCCAGTAAATCCACATTCCCAGTGCATACCTAGCTGAGCTATTTGTTATGTGAGATGTGCTGCTTTTCAGTTGCCTAAGCTGCAGCAAGCTCATTACAGAGGGGCGGTAAAATGGCAGACAGCTCCTGTCTCACAGCTGGAGTTAATTTGATTATGTACTGTAATTGTCAGCATGCCCAGGAGCCAGTCTGCTGAATAGCAGCCCTGCACAAATACCTTAGCTCCATTATTTTCTGATGTGCATGGGTAGCTGTGACAGAAACTCCTGCTGGAAAAGCTGTGCTGCTTCAAGGGCAGTTGCCATTGGGAAACCAAGGAAGACATGGGGTATTGATAGAGGTTACCGAGCTTCTAGAATAAGGTGAAGCATTTGGCACCTGCACGACAGAAAGAAAAGAAGGGGGACTAGTAGACAAAGGTCTAAAAGTAAAACTAGACTTGCCCATAGGTCTGTAGGGAAGAGCTCACAACAAAGAGGGAAACAAATGATTTACCATCCCTTAAGAGAGGATACTGACTAAATTCCCAAGCCAATGTGTGATGTTTTGCCTCTACAGCTGTGGAAAGGCTATGGTACTGGAACTGGTGGAGGCAATATGTTACTGCATTGGACTGTAAGGCAACCAGGAGCTATTTCCCCTCCTCTTTTCCCCTGTGCCTTTCTCTCCCCGTGCCTGCTCACTAGTAAAGCAAGCACTATATGGAATGCAGTTTCATGTCATGAGACTGGGAGCTGATCACGGTCCTCCAACTCCCACCCCCAACACCACTGCTGTTGTCAGTACCCTTTATATGTTACTCTTGCGATTTGTGTTGTACCCCAAGATTCTGATGTGCTTGCCTATCCTAACTAACCCAGACAAAAGTTGAACTATATCATTCAGCAGTATAGCCACAGCTGGAAAAGAAGGTGGGGTTTTTGTTTCTTTGTTTTCCCCCTTATGTCCAATACAAAACAGGTGGGCCTGGATCATTCTGCCATGGCTCCATAACAGCTGGCTCTTTTGAAGGATTTAACAGCACCAAGGATGGTACGTACCATATGGAGTCTGCTAGAGGATTCAGTAGCAAGGGCAATTCTCCAGGTTCTTTTTTTATTCCACCATGAAAGTGACATAGGTAAGTCTCTGGTTCTTTGACAGGGTGTTGAAATGATTGACTTAAAGAAAACAATACTTCGCACTGAAGGAACACTTATCTCTTCTTTTGCAATTCAAGAGTGCTATTTATACATTGACCTCAAGCAGTTATAACTTCGAAAGCTTTAACTAGGACTCTTGCGATTGTTTATTCCAACGTACAGTTTTACCTTAGGGGAACTTGGCAATAGGTAAGTGAAGTGAATGACCAAAAGATGTGCACAAAGTAGTGGCAGGGCTAAGATGGAAGCCAGCAGTCTTGCCTTGCATTTTATTCTCCATCAGAAGCTGGAAGTAGAATGTAGAGGACGCAATTCCCTGCTGCTGCTGCTCAAAGTATGAGCCTTACGCCCTTTTCTGTCTTACACAACCAAATACTGCAATGTCTCTTTGTGACAAATTAAGCCCAGAGATTTTGAGACTGTCCTGTGTTCCAAAAACAGGAGGTTGTTCTCTGACTGAACCTTAAAATTATCAATCTTAGAATAACCAATTTCAGACTGGGTCCAAGGAAAGATTCCACTAGAAGCATTGCAAACAAGTGGATCTAAGGCTGATACAATGACTCCAGCACTTCAAAAGAATGAGCATATTGTGGAACTTGGTTTAGTAAAAGCTGCTTGTGCTTTTATTTTTCTCCCTTCCTCCATAGCCAGATACTAAGGGCTTGAAAAGATACCAGTAAGTTTGGAGGTGGGATGGGAGCATCCCAAAATCCTGCTTAGTGCCACAATGCTGGCAGATGTAAACTTTTTATCCTTCTGTAGGACAGGTCCACAAGACAGCTGAGTGCTTGATAACTGGTGACATAAAAAGGTAGCCTGTGCAAGTCATTATTACGAAACACCTATGAGGCAAAAAGCTGAAAACTGGAAAGAAGGATTGGATATGCAAAAACAGAGTACATACACCACTAAAAAAAAAATGCACTGGGGAGTTTTTAGATCTACCCACTAATGCCAGCTCTTCTTGTGAGGAAGGTATTCCAGAACTGTTTGGTGTAGTGGCACCAGGCCACTCTGACAGTATCCAGCATCACCGTGTTCAGAAAGAGAAGAAAACACTGTGAGGGCGGTCAAACACTGGTATAGGTCATCCAGAGAGGTTGTAGAGTCTGCATCCTTTGAGATGTTCAACACCTGTCTGGATGTGGTCCTGGGCAACCTGGTCTAGTTGACCTTGATTGAGCATGGAGGCTGAACTAGATTATCTTGAGAGGTTCCTTCCAAGTTCAACAATTCCATGAGCTGCAGCACGGGTACTATTTTAAGAAGTCCATTTCTACACTGCCACTTTGTCTGCACAGCAAAGGAATCTGATCAGCACCCTGTCTTGCCTACAATTATTTCTATAGGTCACAAACTAGACTTTGCAAAACATTGGACTTAAATTGTATTAAAAGGTCAGTCCCTTACTGAATGTACACATTGTCATCGAGATGTAGTAAGAGGAGAATAGATGTACTGTATCAGATGAAAAAGTCCCTCCCACTCAGTATTCCTTCTCTTTTAGAGGCAGGTATTTAAAGAAAAATATGTTGGAACAGGGTGCATGTAGAGCAATCCTTCATCAGATGATAAACTCCCAGTGTCTGGCACTCCACAGTTCACTGACCTGTAGCTTCTATCTGGACCATTAGGTTTAAGAGCCACTGACGGACCAATCCTCCAGGAATTAACTTAAGCCCTTTTTAAAGCTATTTATACCTTAGCCAAATCCTCTGAAATCTCTTGGCAGTAAGTTTCATCATTTAACTATTTGTTAAAAAAGGAAACAAAACCCCCGCAAATCCTTCTTCCTTCTTGTGTTTTAAATCTGCTTCCTAATCTGAGTAAGCAGTCGTCCTACTCTCCCTACCCATCCCTGGCTATTTCTTGTCCTGTAGCCGGGTCTTGGCTTGGAGATCCTTCCCATTTCCATTTTCTCTCTTGCTTAGTTGCCAAAAAGCTTTACAAACAGAGGTGCCAGTATCTTAAAGGTACTTCCAGCCCTATTTTACAGGCATTTGAAGAAGGCAGCAGACAGAATAATTTTTCAAGTCAAGAGACAAATTGAATCCACTTAGTTTTATCCACCAGCTGCTAAAATTTAAAATCTAAACCCTTGCCTCCAAATAACCTATGCTGTGGAGCTGAGAGTTCAGACACGGGTGTAAATTTGACAGTGCTACTGCTCATTGACTATGCATCCAAGGGCATATTTGGATCAGTTGCTGGAAAAGTGACAGTTACACAGTACTGCAATTTTGCTGTTTGAGCTCAGGTACTAGGAACACGGGCAAGGCCCACAGGCCAAATAAACAAAACTTTCCTATGACTTGCTAGAGTTTTGTATCACAGACTTACAAACTCCCTTCTATTGCACACTGTCATCAACAACAAGTATTGCAACTAGTACTGGCTGCGCCCAGTTATATGACAAATCACAGACCACCTGGAAGCAGCTTTCACATCAATAATGTGCTCTTTGTCTGAGGCACTCCTTCTTCAGCTAGCTTGAAGACAAGTCTTTGTCTTTGAACAACATCTTTTACTGTTACCTTGGATTTTTTTATATTTTTTTTTGAACTCTTGTTGGCTTGTTTTGAATTAGATGGCTTTCACCTTCAAGATTAATTTAGCTTCAAAATAACCTGTTTAGTTAGCAAGCTTGGCAGCTTTAGAACAGGGGCTATACGTCAGCATATGGCCATCACTTCATTACAACTGCTCCATGATCTCTGTTGAAGCCTCTGGTCACTGGTAAGACAGAAAGCAGTTATTGCAGTCTGTATGCTAAAACCAACCCAAATACAAATGCAAGTTCCAAAGTCTTTTATTGTAGCCCTTGCATGGCTGAGCTGCCCCTCAGAGGGATGGACTATGCATCATCCCAAAGACAACATAGGATGGAGAGAATCATGACCCCTGGAGAACGCGTTCATTTGACAAGATCCTTCACATACTTCCAGCCTTGCACAGAATATTCACAGGCCCTGGTGGGAGCTACAGACAAGGCAGACATGACTGTCTGCACTCCTGCAAGGAAAGCAGAGAAGAATTATCCCAAGAAGAGTATCATTCAAGCCAAATTTCCTAATGTTATTCTAGTATTGTAGATCTCTCTAAACACGGAGAGAAAAATCTAGCTCCGTTTCAGAAGCTTTCAAACACACTGAGGCCTGAATGATCCTTGGTTCAAGTACAGCTTTATTGTCTCAGTAGCATTTGTAACACAGAGAAATTCCAGCTTCAGGACCAGTATAAAGGATAGAAAATTACAAGACTGAAACAAAGAACTGAGCTAAGTTTCATTTTATTTCTGGCCTTGCCACAGACTCCACGGGTGATGTTGGAGATGTCACAATATTTGTGGACTGTTTCCCCACAATTACATAAGGACTTTTTGCTGCACCATAAAAACTATAAATTAACTTACTAGGTATTTATAACACACCTTGGCCTTCAAACAAGATCTCTAAAATCCTAATAATAATGGGAATACTCATCTGTTCTGAAAAGTCAGAGGATGAGTTCAGACATACTAGCATCTGAAGAGTTTATAAGCTCTTCAATCTTTAACCAAAGGTTCTCCTTTCTTAATAAGTCATAATTTATTTTAATGCTCTAGTTTCCCTGACCACTACCAGTGCTGATGAACTCACTGGTGCCTAAACTCTATCTATTTATTGTGGAGGCCACAGGCCTTCCGAAACACTTCACTGAAACATTCAAGCTTAGATTCTAGGATAGCATAGGCATGCCTGTCTTGGGGCACAGGTGAGCAGCAAGCTTTGTAGCTTAAAAAAAACCCAGCAGCTCCTCTGGTTACAAAAGGCAGACAGGTTTATGGATGCACATCCTACTCCTTATTTCATAGTTGGAACAACAAGAAATTAAGTCCAAAGTCACTAGTGGTAAAACCTGGAGCAGAATATGCTTCCTTAGTCCCAGTCCCAATGCTGCTTCCACCAGACTGTAACCATCTATCACCTCCTCCATCATGCAATTTAGGAGGACAGTACTGAAACAAGACTGGTATAAGCTACATCGCTCTTGGCCCCTTGCTCCTTTCAGTTTGGTGAGAAGTTATTTTACCTTTATTCCAGGAATCAGAGGGGCTGAAGTCAAATTTTGGAGTGGTGGGAAGCTAGAAAGAGAGAGAGACAAAATATCACCACTTGACGGGTTTCACTTACAAGAGGATTCACATCACCTTGGAAGAGCCTCTTGAGCTCAGATCTCAAAGACACTTAGGTGCCTACTCTCCGTAAGTCTCAAAAGCGATCAGACATGAGGCTTAAAGTCTGGACTTTGCTCTTTCCCTCAGTATAAAATAGGGGCAGAAGGCAGTACTTATCATCTGGGTGCTCTTGAAAAATCATCTCCATGGCTGTCTCCTTACAGTTATGTATTAGTTTAGAGTAGTCTCTAATAGGAAAAATGCTTTTCAAACTTTCAGCAAAGGCTTCTCCTGTTCTGAGTATTTTAAAAAATAAGAATTACTCAAAGAGAAGGGTCTCTTCAGGCAATTTAAATTCAACCTGACGAACTGTTAGTAACTTGAGAAACTGGGAGGAGAATCTTTTCATTAGTTTTTTAAAAGCAAGTAGGATCCTTCAAAAGAAGCTTAGGAATACTACATAGCAAAGTATCTCCCAGAGCATGCTTGCAATCTCCTCCTTGACCCTGCATAGCCTAGTTACTCCTTCTCCTTTGAAGTAACACCTGTGAGCAATGTCTCTCCTCTAAATTTAAAACTTTATCCTCCCTCCATTTCAGTCCTCTTCAAAATACTCTCAATGTGAAATACAGTTTCAACAGCAAAACTCCTGCCAGCATCACTGGAACCAGAATATCACCCCAATGTTTCTTCCTCCTCATTCAGAGAATGCATTTGTTTTGCTGACTGTGTTCAACTGCACTGTCCTTACCTCCCAGCCTATGTAACTTGTCCACTCTTGGATAGCTGGAGGCAGTGCTGCTTGAGCTTTTTTGAGGGCTTCAGCACCTTGTGTACCACTGCCCAGCAGGCCCTGATCATATGCGACGTATACAGCAGCTCCAGCCAGGCTTCCTTTGATGACAAACCTGAAAGAATCAAAAGCAGCAACAGTTCAGTTCATGTTATGACTATCAATGCATCTCTCTCAGTAGGTTGTGACTGTCAAAGGGAGGGTATCGATAAATAAATCTGAGGGTCACAAATACTCTATTGTAATGTCTGATTACAGACAGAAGCAGCAGAAAAATATCTAGCTACCTTCCTTTTCTTCCTAGGCCAACTATTCCCTGTCAGCCCCTTGAAACCATACCCATTCACATTTTGCCATGAAAGTTGACAAGTTTTTAAGGAAAAATGAGAAAGTGTCAAACACCTCAGAGTATATGTCACTTTTTGAAGTCTGAGAATCACTGGCATGTACCTTTGATAAAAGGAACTAAAGGACTTTGCAGTGGGTAAGACATCCACGTTAATGATGTGGTCTCGCTTATAAGTAATCCAATTAGTTTGACAGACACCAATATCTTGTTAAGCTCATTACAATCCAGTTAACACCTGGCCATGCCTGTTTCTGCATTGCCTAGGCTTTTAAAGTTTCCCAGTGGACTACATGGTGTGCAAACACTAGTTTTACAGTTGTAGTGGCAACCTGCAAAATGGAAGACACAAAGAAAATATTTGACCTTTATTTGCTTTTTCATTATAGATAAGAGATCTGGGGAGACTGACTTTTTCAAATTCACAAGGCAGAGAGTTGTTTCCCCTTTAAAAAAATCCAAGAAGCTACTGCACATCTAGGAAAAAAAAAAAAACCAACCAAACAAACAAATGAAAACTTGCCAGCTAGCAGTATCGCAGTAGTAGAACACACAATAGATATAGGCACTGAGAGGCAAGAGAAAATCAATATTTAAATCCATGTATTCACAAGTATCTTGGAGAAAAGAGATTTCTCTGTTAAAAAATTTACTACTCGCTCCCAAGAGCGCCCTTCCACACCTTCTCCCTTCGAGTGGGCTGTATGTCCAGATCTGGAAGTGTTCCCTCAGCAAACAAGCGCCTTTGGGTGGCATTCCCCGGTTTTAATTTACGTATTCATGCTC